ACATCTAAAGTCCATGAAAGTTTTTAAACATTGCATCAAAATTCCTCTCAAGACACTGGAGGCTGAAAGTAAAGGCTTCATTTTGCTAAATAGAAACTGATTAAAAACATAAACCTTTTTACCAGTTTCTGCTCAACGTTGGATATTTTATCAATGGGGTAGGGCACTGGCTATGAGGAAAGGTTAAAAAGACTAGGATTGTTTTCACTGGAAAGACAGTGGCTGGGAGGAGACCTGATAGAGGTCTACAAAATTGAGAGGCATCGATAGGGTGGACAGTCAGAGGCTTTTTCCCAGGGTTGAAGTTTCAGTTACAACGGGGCACAGGTTCAATCATTACAATTGATGATTACAATGTTCTACCTTGGTTTGAAGGGAGGACAGCTAACTAGCGGGTTGAAAAATATCCAGGGTCTTAGTAGTTTTCTTCCCCTCTTGATTGTTGCAGTTCCTACGTTCGTGTGGAAGTTGAAAAAAATTAGCAACATTGAAATGTTTCTTCTGAAATCATCCAACAGGTGTACTGCAGGATAATGTTTGCTCATCTGGTCTACTGAGCAGTTTGAATTGTGATTCCAGGTGAAAAGCACTAATTCTGTACATTCAACAGACCTTTCAATAAAATTTATTAAAAGAAGTCCATATCAAGTATAGTAATGGAAAAGCAAAGGAAGTTTCACAGAATTCCAAAATGGACATCCTAGTTCATGAAGATGGTACCCAAATTTAATACCTGGGGCACTGTAATATTTTATGGGCTAACATTGAACTAGACTGTTATAAAACCTGGAAAGTGATAACCGAAATAAATACTTCCAAACTGACAAATTAATATCACTTTTATTCTTAAACTGGAACTCTAAACATCTGTTAAAAATGGTACACTGAAGTTATTTTTGAGTAAATGCCAATGGTACCAGCTGCACCAACATACCATACCAGAGTGTGCTACAGCACGCTATGTTTTCAATCTCTAACAGATTGGTAGTTAGGCCCATCAGCCCAGGAGGCATGAAAGAACATTAGATGGCATATCTTCCCAGCCTGTTTTTGAAATTATTCTGGAGACTTGCTCGATTTCTTCCCACTCAAGGACATTCCACTGTTCGTCTGACTTGCTTTGCATTCCAGTAGTGATGCCATCCCAGTGGCTAGCCTGCGGTTTGAGTCATTCCACAGAGCTGTACCATTTTTGAGTTTACCATTTTTAAAATTAGGTAGAGTTCCCTTTCACTCAAGGCAGAAAAAGCTTACTCAAAGCAGTCAGGAAAATATTACACCACTACATCTAAACTATCACAGCAATGATTTGCCTTTTGCATGGTTTCCTCAAGGTTGCTGGGATTGACTATCAACAACATCTTCCATAATGACATCAATGCTCACATCAGTGAAGTTAAACAGTGCTAATGCACTTCTATTTAGCTTTCTGCTCAAAGTCCATGGTTATCCACATTACTTAACTGAAAAGAAAATATTAGGCAAAGCACAAATCAATGAACTGCATTGGGTAAGCATTAGCAGAACTAGTATGTACACACACAACTTGAGTTACATTAACAGCAATCAGATTTGTAGGTTTGTGGTCCAACACAGTTTCTGGGTACAGTATAAATAATACACATTTAGTACAGTGACTTGAATACAGATTCTCTAATCATAAATACAGTTTAATTTCAAACAACCACAAATAACCTGCCTAAACATCTATAGCATAGGTGTAGTTATATTTGACAAGATAAAACAAAAGAACAGCTTATGCTGGAAATCTGAAACAATAAAAACAAATCACTGGAAAATCTCAGCAGGTCTGGCAGCATCTGTGGAGAGAGATCAGTTAACTTTTTGGGTGCGGTGACCCTTCTTCAGACCTGCCAAAGTCTTTGATTTGGTTCATACTACGAACACATTTAAACCTAATTTCAATTCAATTACATAAATGTAGTGAGGTAAAGTTTGCAATCTCACTTCCTCTTTTCAGTACTCTGAAAAGTTACAACCAGTGCCATTAATACAGACGTTGTTCTGTGAAAATATTTCTGTATTTGAATGTTGTTCACATTTTAAGTTTACACTGCCCAGAGTGTATTTTTGTTCTGATTTAAGTTTGTGTCTGTGGTGGTAACAAGGTTAACATTCAGTAGATATCAATTAATCCTTAGAGGATCAGTACAGCATCAAAGTGAAAGTGAGTTTAGCAGTTCAGTTTAATGAGAGAATACTTTGAGCCAGGAATGTTTCTCTACTGCCTTCACTTTTGGTTTCTTACAGTGTCTTAGAAATTGACTATACTTTTTCAAATGCACTCTACTTTAGACAAGGGTTCAGTCTGGGAACTGAGAAAGAAAACAATCTGAGGGACCTCAAATATTCGTTGCACTTTTAATTTCATCATGTTTTTGCACATTTATAATACTGACCACATGATCAGCATGAGGGCAGCACAGAAATACTGAATTGGAAACTTGTGCATGCCTTTTCCATAATACTTGTGTTAAATCCAAATTGAATTAGAAACTCCATTCAGCATTCTAAAAGTTAGAAACACTTAAAACAATGAATTTTGTATTTTTCAAAATGATGAATTTTAGGGATCAATTATTTTATTTGCTTTCCTAACTGTAGCTTTTTGCATATTCTAAAGCATTTTTTATTTTAAGAAAAACTAATTTCTTAATTTTCTGAATGTTTTTTGTTTTGTTTTATTTAACAAAAGTTGCTGGACTAATCACTTTACTGAACAAAATGGATCTAAAATAGATTCTCCTTTATCCTCTTTCCCCATATAAGGTCTACTTGAATAGAGAAATTGGACCTACTTGAAATACTTCAGCAACATCCAGATTTGTTCTCAAATCAAAGCACCATTAATTTTCAATCAGGACACTGTTATCAAATCGAGTGCTGCCTGAAATCCTCATTTCCGCTAACTGCACATTTGAATTTGAATGTACTTAATGCATGAAAAACTTTGGCAAAAGAGACTAGCTGCCTTGAACTTCCTGCAGATCAGTTTGTCCAGGACACTTTGTACTTCTGTCTTCAGCATAATGTTTAAATTGGCTTTTAAGAATAAATCACAACCTGTTGCTTTAAGTATAAAAGTCAGTGAGATTGGTTTTAACTTTTGAGTGGTCTATTGACAGAGTGTGCCAGCTATCCATCTGTTCTGGCAGCAGAGTCTGGAGCTATTTTGAGGTTGCAGCTTTATTGGATGCTTGCCAAGATGCAGCTACCAAATAGCAATGTGAATGCAGTTTAACAGTTTGGGGCAATTTAGGTGATTAGTGATTTGCTCATCAATTGGGGACCAATCGCTGGAAGCAAGTAGGCACTTTAGCTGCCCATGAGTAGGCCCCTATAAATTTAGCTTTGATGTATTTTATAAAGTTCTCTCTTTCAAATTGGAAGAAATTTGCTAAGTGGAGTATCTGTTCAAAGCCACTATTCAGAGGGATAGATTCTACTTTATAGATTCTAGCTGTGCATTCCTATCCCTCTCAATTCTTTCTATTGACCCAGTAGCATATAATACACGACAGAAGAAGGGATTTTATGCGTTCAGCTCAGCTTATCACTCCATCTGACCGAAAGGGAACTGGTTAGATCCTGGCGATGATTACCAAATTCACTATAGAAAGTAATAAATAGTGTTCAAAATTGGCTTCACCTGGAACAAGGATACATCAAATTATATTTTAAAATATAAATAAACAAATCTCCTTTTAATTGTGATATGTTTCAAAAATTCCTTTCAAGCACTTTGGTAGAAAAGATGCCTGTTTAGATTTGTTGTTTTTGGTGTTTTGGAATAAGAAAAGGATACAACTGCTGAGAAGTGCCACAAAGACCAGTTTTTCCTTGAGCATTAGAAACATAATAAGGCAGATGCTAACCAGAATGAAAACAGTTCTTCAAAAGAAAAAGCAACAATAGATTGATTAAAACATCTTTCAGTTAACCTCATTTTGGTTTGCACTTGCTGAGTATTCCACTTTAAACAATAGATTTGTTTTAAAAAAGAAAACTGAACCTACGTTCCATTTTCTACATATTCCTACAGATGTTGGAACCTAATTACTGATAGAGTCCACATTTTCCTCCCCTTTCTGAAATATTTGTGTTGTGGTGTCAGTACTCTTTTACAATGAGACAACAGTGAAGTATAACAAAATTCAAATCTCTATTTGTTTGCTTCCAATCAATAAGCCACCCAATGACCAAATCTGAAGAATTAATAGTGTTCCACTTTTAGTCATAGTGTGTGCTATTGCCTGGTGTTAATAAACATTACCGAACTAATTAAAGCCTTGTCATTAGCAGGACTTTCTCAACAAATTTTCACCTTTTGAACTGTGAACCATGGAACTGTGAATCAGGAAGGTAGCGTTGAGGTTAAAATCAGATCAGCCATCAACTAATTAAATAGAGTTGGGAAGTCATGTTGAGGTCATGGGAAGTCATGTACAGGACATTGGTGAGGCCTCTTCTGGAATACTGTGTCCTGTTCTGGTCACTCAGTTGGAGGAAGGATATTATCAAGCTGAAGAGGATTCAGAAGAGATTTACCAGGATGTTGCCGGGTATGGAAAGTTTGAGTTAGAAAGAAAGGCTGAATAGGCTGGGACTTTTTCTCACTGGAGCATAGGAGGTTGAGAGGCGACCTGATAGAAGTTTATAAAATGATGAGATGTACAGATAGAGTTGATGGTAGCTGTCTTTTCCTTAGGATGGGGGATTTCAAGACTAGGGGGCACATGTTTAAGTTGAGAGGAGAGAGATTTAAAAAAGACATGAGGGGCAAATCTTTTACGCAGAGGGTAGTTCGCTTGTGGAATGAACTTCCTGAGGAAGTGGTGGATGTGGGTACAATTATGACGTTTAAAAGACATTTGGATAGATACATGAATAGGAAAGGTTTGGAGGGGTATGGGCCAGGACCAGGCAGGTGGGGCTAGTTTAGCTTGGGATTATGTTCGACATAGTCTGGTTGGACAAAAGGATCTGTTTCATGCTGTATGACTCTATGAATGGTACAGCTGGCTCGAAGGGCCGAGTGGTCAACTCTTGTTCCTTGTTTGTATGCACCTTCTATCTCCTAAGAGTACAGCAATGTCATCAGTTCAAATCAACACTAGCCCAGAAACCAGCATATTGGTACTCTTCTATTTACTTGCCAGCCTCAGACTAATCCATTTAAATATTTGGGCACCATGATTTCTATCAACATTGATAAAGCAGTGGACAAATGTTGAAGTGCTGTCTGCAGTCTGTTTGTGAACCATGAGTACCTTGAGGTTTGAACAATGAAATAGCATCACTATGAGCGACTTTATAAGCAAGGTGGCATTGTATAATTCAAATCATTCCTATCACCACCCCTCTTCTCAATGTATAACACTGCATTGACTTGTTCTCAATCTATTATGCAATACAGCCCTGGGTTCAAGTATGTAGTACTGTAGGTCTGGGGACCATTTACCATGCTAGACTCTCAATATTGTCTCAAAACTTTTCAACTTCAACATTAAGGATGAATGAACAGTCAGAGTCACATTAGGAGCTCTTGAATTTTTGTTGCATCACTTGGTACTTTAAGCAGGATTCCTGGCCAAACCACAGTACAAAACTAACAAGACTGGTGTTCCAGATCTAACAAATAAATGATTCTTCCTAGTGGCTGCCCCAAACAAGTCCCTGCAGTTCTACATTTGGTTTTGTAGCCAGTTGGACAACATTATGCTTAGGAAACTTACCAGCAAGGCATGGGTGTCATGAGATTCACTGGTGCCCATTACCTGAGTAAATGTCATGTATGAATATGGCTTTCACTCTTTGCATTAATTAATTGTTAATATGTATGATACATTATTATGGTTTCACAAGTCAAAGTTTACCTTTACTGGCCTACTAACAATTTGCTATGTCATAATCCTGGAAGCATACAGTCTGTAATCTCTTGCCTTTCTGACTACAGAGGGCCTAAGAATATTAAAAGCAGAAATAAAAACAAGAAAATATTTTAAAATGTTTTAAAGTCAGATTCCTAAAGGTTATTTGAATCCTGTCGTATTACTGTTGTTGCTACAGTTTTCTATTTTTGTTGCTGGCACAAATTTGATTGGTAAAGAGCTAAAAATAATTGTATGATCTCTCATTAATGAGTGACAGTATAGTTTCAATTCTGTTTGCTTCTCTCAGTTCCTGTTCTCAAGCACAATGTAATGGGTCAGAGCTAAACAGAGAGCCAAGCACTTCCTCATGGGGAAGGAAGGTCAATTAGAAAGATAATCATGGGGTGGCCATATGGTCTGTGATATTAAAGGAGAACGTTTGCCTGGAGTTGGTGTATGAACCAGATGACCAGAAAATGGGGAAAACATATGGTACAGAAGGAAGCCATTCAGCCAATCAAGGCAGAGGAAGCTTTGACTCTGATATACATGTTTAAGTTTTGATGAAAATGTCAGTCTGAACAAAACATGACACCACGGGCAATAAAAATACAAAAGACCTTGTTGGATATCTGTTAATTTTAGTTTGCAGTTAAAAGTCTAAATCTTATGTGAGGATCACATCCAAATGTTAAGCTCTCCAGAGTACTGTCCTCTACAGGTTGTAGCTGATATGGTGACATTCACTGAATTAACTCTTAAAATAAAAACGTTTTTTTGGTCAGCATGAGTCAAGACAAGCCGTTTTATAATCATGGTTTGTGAAACTAATGGAATAAAGTTAATCTTAACTTCTTGCACATCACAATGCCCACCCTAAAACAGCACGTTTTTCATCATCCAGTTCTAATTAATGTTATAGAAAATTTCAAGCAATTACCTGTCGGTAATTCCTTTTGAAGTCCTAATGGATCAAAATTAAAGAGTTTTTCAGAAGAGACAGTTGATAAGAACATAAAATGCAGCCTACTGTAGGCTACGAGTTAGACTGTTATCAGTCAATATTCATTTTGCAGTTAAATTCCCATATATGTAAATCAGCATGCACTATAATTAATAAGTTGTTGTTTTACTGTCTAATAGGAATACTTCTTGACCACTTAACTATAGTAGGGAAACACTACTAAAAATAATGTTGGATTGTACTTTACGTATGTGTGTGTGTGTATATATGTTTGTTTGTAATAGACGTCAAACTACTTGTGTACTTTTGTTAGTTCACAGATTGAAGATATTAATACCTAATCAGTACTACAACACTCGCCTATTTCAAGACTTAGTGATCAATAAATGAGCTTTATAACCGTGTTAAATGTTCAATCAGACTCTGCTCTTCCTTTGATTTCTCCACACCATCGATGATATAGTCTCGTTTCTCAATCCTTCCCACAGCAGCATTGCCATCTCGTCCATAGGATGAGCCATCTTTGGTTTTGTCTTGCTTTGTTTTCTTTTGCAATTTTGCAGCTTCCTCAAAGGTCTGGGCTAGGGGTCTCCCGAGAGTTTCCGGTAGTAGCAACGTTAACAAGCCAGTCAGAAAGGACATGATTCCAACAATCAGCTACCACAAAGGGAGAAATAAGATATCAGCACTGGTCAAATGTTTCCTGTTAAATTTATTACGTATCTTAAATATTAAAGCTACTACCATCATACTTGCAAGTATTGTCCTTGTTATGTTTATCATTTTTAAAAAACGTTGTAACATTAATAATACCAGCTCAATTAGGAAAAGGTCCATAGGCTAGCAGCACTGCAAGTTAATATTCTACAGCATTATGAACAAACTATGAAACACTAGAAGGCCAATCAGCATACTACAGTGATTCTTTCCAATTAACCGAGAGCAATTGCACTGTGACAGACTCTCTCCGACTTACTTAATCAGGCAAAAGGAGAAATATTGAACCTACCTTCACCTCTGAAGATAATCGCATAAAACAAAAACTGTCTCAAAATATCGGTCCAAGCTTATTCAAAACTGACCAGTTGCATTGCACAGAATACACTTAAATGACGCCATGATTTTATATGGGAAGGTTTATTATAATTACGTAGGAAATAGCAATGGAAAATGTTGGCTTAAAAAACAATAAAAAAGGGCTCATATGGCACAAAGGTAGTGACTCTGAGCCTGAAGGTCCAGGTTCAAGTCTTACCTGCCCCAAAAGATTTTGATTTTTATTTTCTCAAAGTGAAAGAAACATGGCAATAGGATAGAGAGAGATAGTAGAAACTGCCGATGCTGGAGAATCTGAGATACCAAGGTGTAGAGCTGGATGAACACAGCAGGCCAAACAGCATCAGAGGAGCAGGAAAGCTGACATTTTGGGTCTGGACCCTTCTTCAGAAATGGGGGAGGAGGAGGGGATTCTGAAATAAATAGAGAGAGAGGGGGACGCGGATGGAAGGTGGATAAAGGAGCAGATAGGTGGAGAGGAGACGGACAGGTCAAGGAGACAGGGATGGAGCCAGTAAAGGTGAGTGTTGGATGGGGAGTTAGGATGGGGGTTGGTTAGTCAAGGGAAGACGGACAGGTCAAGAAGGCTGGGATGAGGCTGGTAGGTAGGAGGTGGGGGTGAGGGTTGGTCAGTGAGGTGGGAGGAGTGGATAGGTGGGAGAAAA